CAAAGTCTCTCTGCTCTGATGCCTTTCAAAGCCTTAAAGACTAAATACAAATTAAATGTGACATCTGGTAGAGTTATTAAATCTAGAAGCAGCTGAGGAAACATAAAAGGATTCTTCTCTTAAACAGAAAACAAGCTGACATTTTACAAATACTTATTCACTATTCTGGCTACTGGTGTACATTAGAGAAGACTACAATAATCAGAAAGAATTTGGGTGATCCACAAAACAAAGAATCTAGCAAATTACAAAGACAGCAGATGTTTCAGCTGTATAACCAAGATGTTATAATTGCAATATAATCAAAAGAGTAAGACAAAGCTGTATAACCAAGATGTTATAATTGCAATATAATCAAAAGAGTAAGGCAAACAAGGATCACAAAAGAGAATAAGTAGAAGAGCTTACCCTTGGGTTGAGCTCACTAGAAGATATCAAAGAGGAGGATCTCCAGAAGAGATCCTTCCCCTCTGGTAGCCAGCTCTTAAATAGGTCCAGGAGGGGTGGAGCCTGGCTCCACCCCTTCCGGTAGCACAGGTGAATTGCCTTCACCTGTGCTCCTCTGGCTGACTCATGGCTCACCTCAGGTGATTAATCAGAGGTTCAGGCCGTGACTCAGCAGTTCCCATACACAGCACTTATTTCCCTTTAAGCCCTCTGCTTTCATACATTCCCAGGTAAAACATTCAGTGTGTTTATCTTTTTTCCTATTAATTTTCAGCTGCATATTCCATTCCATAGTACATATGGCATTTTGTTCCTCACTCGCATCAGAGATCCGAGATGTGTTCTAACATAGTTTTTGTCTTCCACAAGTAGGTCTTTGAACTTCAGGTATCTCATTTACATAATCATAGGCATTTTTATTGTGAAATTATTACTATTTCTCCATACATCTTTACATGGCTATGACTAATTGTTGTGGAATAAAACCAGTACGTACAGTTCCACAAGCAGAATACCTTATGTGAATTCAACTTTGCTCCAGTTGCAGCCCAAACAAATTAACATTTGACTAACCTAGCCCTGTTTACATAGCATAGTATCTCAGTTTTTAATGATTGTCCATTCACTACAGAGGAGAAACAGCAACTCGTGGAGAAAGAAAAGTGCTACACACATATTATTAATAATAATCATCATAAATGAAATTAGAAATGCCATTGACTTGAGAAAATCTCATTCACTGTGGTCTGGAACTCATTCCCTAACCATTTTCTTACACCTAACAATGAACTGACTATTTCTGAAACGAGCATTGGAGATGTAACACCATAATAGTCACTGTAAACCCACATCTATAGGTTAGGGGATGAGCCCAGAGAAGGGCTCTGCAAAAAAGAACCTGGGTGTTCTGGTTGTCAACAAGTTGGCTATAAAGCCAGCTCGTCTAGGAATTCCAAAGCATCAGATGATAGAAAAGCTCATATTATTTACTACATAAAATAACCCCACTAAACTAATGCCAATTTCTCATAATTGGAAAGATGAAATTTTTATATTTGTTGTCAAATTTTCAGAATAATTCACATGATATTAAGTTCCTCACTTAGAAACCCAAGACTGAGATTAAAACTGTAAAATCTAATTTCTCACAAAGGGCACATGTGGGAAAAAAATATCCTTAAGTCCAGGGAGTATTGAGTAACTCAAGCTGTTACACTCAGCATGATACATATCATTTTATTCTAAGACAAAACTTTTTTGGCAACCACTCCTAGCCAGTCACCCACTACTTTAAGCATATAATTTCTCTGTGACAATGCAACAATTTAGAAAGCTTCACTTCACACTGAATGATCAAAATACTCCTAGCTATAACAGCAATTCATTTTACAACAGGTTCAGGAACAAAAACTTTTAAATCATCTCACTGCTGCCTCAGACCCAACTTTGAATAATGGTTGTATGAAATGTGGCTCAGCCAACACCCTGCAGATCACTCGAATCTACTGCCATTTGATAAAACCATCTGCAGTTTTACCAGGATTTAGGAGATGAAAGGGAACCTAACTGTTTTCACAAATAAATTCAGATACTCAAGAACCTGCAGATGCTATTGTTTTGTGGCTAAATTCTGCTTTTCAAATAATTCTGTTTATACTTGTAAGCATATTAAATAGATTAAATAACAAGAATAGTACTCAATTGCCTTATATATCAGAAAAATAAGTCTAATATTGTAGGAGTGATGTGTCCAAGTAAAACAAAGTATTCTGTTCTGCAGGAAAGATTTAGATATTACAGCATTAAAATCACTACTGTGAAAATTACTGGTCTTCTATTCCCAAAATGAACCTTTAAATTTAGTTTTATACTTAAAAAGAGCTAATACTTGGGGGAAAAAAAAGCATAAAAATATCATTGTAAAAGTAGATTTACTTCAGCTATACTAAAGTGTCACAAAAAAAGTATTCACTACACTATATGACTGAAAACTGACTGAAAATATATGCTATACACAGAGTTTAAAACTCTTCATATTACTTCAAGCGAATGTTTAGAACACAAAAGCTTCCAAACGGTTGCAGCTAACATCAGCACCTGAATTTAAAACAGCACTTCAGTAATAAATGATTATGGTAATCTTTGCTTGAGATAAGAGGAAAGGAGACCAAGTTACATCTAAAATGAGAAGTGATATAGAGAAGAGTGCAAATACATTAAGAACAGATCTCACAGTATGCGTGCCTGTGATTGCAGTGATATAAGATATTATATGGAGATAGAGATGTCACAGAATATATTTGTGATTAACTATGGAAACCTGGTCATCAGCAACAAGGAATGGCTACTACAAACCCTTGGTCTTCTTGCAAGAACCCCTTGGGTTAACAGCAGCCTGCTGGAGTTTTAAGATCTTCTAGACCCCTATCAGTAAAGCCTCCATAATATACTGTAGAATGGTACTTACTAATTTGTAGTCTTAGAAGAATTCCCTACCCTCCACCCTTGCCAACAACAACAACAACAACAACAACAACAACAACAAAGGTTGTAAATTCTTTCTAGTACTTGTTATGGATTTTTTTCATTTGTTGCTGAGCTCCAATTTTATCTACATCATTACTGAGAAGAAGAACTTATTTCAAATTTTGAAGCAGACAAAGAAGAGGTACTTTTACAGGCAGCATATAACAAAATAATATATTACTTATCAAGTAAATAATTCTTGCAACACTAGAGATAATGTGTAAAAAGTTTCTACCTTCTTGTTTGCAGCACCCAAAGATTTCAATTAAACTAGGAACCCTTGATTATTATAGTATTCATTCTGAGATGTTTAAAGCAAATAATATTCTTGTTTTCTAGTTTGGTTTGGTTTGGATTCCTTAAGTAAGTTGGGGAAAAATTATTTCATTAAGTAAAGATTTATATACACATACATGTACAAAACAATGAATATATAAGTAGTTATGAAATGCTATTTCCTCAACAGAAATACTCACTTCAGTTTAGACAGTCCCTCTCCTGAAATCCTACTTCATTCCACATTCAGTACTTGGAAGATTATAATAGATTTGGGAAAAGAATAGTATTACTTAGTGAAATAGTAATATTGATGCAGAGCTACATAAATATTTCCCCTTGCTTTACCATAATATCAATAGAATATTAGGAAGACTTCCTTTTCTCAAAATCTTAGAGATTCTAAACTAAAGTATGTGGGGAAAAAAAAAATTGAAGTTAGGACAAAACATGGTTATAACAGTAATACAGGTTTTAATCCTACAAACAGCATCTTACTACATTTGTTAACTTCTTTTTCTACCATGGCACAAGATATACTGAAAAAGTTAACTCTACACTTCTGTCTGCTGGCACTAGAAATTTTTTTCCAAGGCTCATGTGTAAAGTCTGATTGTGGATTTATGCCATGCAAATAACACTTTAAACCCATTTAATTATTCTAACTAATTTAGAAGCAACCTAGAAATTAGAAGCAACCTTACTGTTGAACGTACATTATGACAGAAAAGCCTGAAAAATAAGCTACTGCTTTGCCAGCTGAAATTAATTAGTTCCAGGGATGCAATCCATTCTGATATCCCAGTTCCCATCCAAAGCCTGGGAAACTCAAAAACCATTCAAGGTTTGTACTACTATATTCCAAAAAATACTTTGCATTGGCTAAGAGCCTGGAAAAATACATCCTCTAGAAGTCAGGTCTTACAATTCATGATGAAAAATGCCTGGGGGGAGTTTAAATCTTCAGATAATTCAGTTCTTTAAAATTACAATTTTATGATATATATATATATATATATATATTTTCAAATAATGATGTTTTAACATCTACTGTACTAATACACGAGCGGCTATTCAAACAAGTCTGTTAAGCATGTTATTTAATTAGTTCAGTAGATGGGTATAGTTCTAAACAGCATCAAAATATTTACAATATCCATTTGGGCTGTAATAAATATCAACAACTCTGCCAAAAAAAAAGAGAAAGAGAGTAATTATAAGGTTAGAATTGGAAGATGTCTAAAATGCATTGTGCACATGAAAAAAAACTCTGATATCTTTTAAGTAGTACATGAAATTCATTTTAAAAATGTAAACACAGACTACATTCTAATGACAGCACATCTGCAGATTTTTTGTTTACTTATGTTTTACAAAAAAATTTGACTTTTCCTAAAGCACAGTTTGTATCTAACAAAAACAACAGCTAAACCAGCTTTACAATGCCATGTCTGACAACAGTATTTTCTCTGTAGACTATTTTTACTTGATTACATAATGAACTTCAAGTACACATACAAAAAGCAATCTTTTTTTTTTTTTTTTTTAAATTATTTTCTACCACTAGAAATGGGCACATTTTTCTAACCCACTCAAGGCCCAAATAATACACCTTGTCTATATGTATCTTCAACTTCAGAGTAAGGTGCTTTTCATGCGTGAGAAATTATATACCGTATTCACATGTGGTAAAGTTGGAAACATGCTCCAGTTTTCATGAAGCCAGCTTATGCATGTATGTTTCTTCCTTCTGCATGACACGCATCTACCACAAATACCTGTATAAAAATATATATTTTTATATTATTAAGATGAAAAGAGTACTGATTTTTTTAAATGTTTTGTTCCTCTAAAACAATTAAATGATATGGAGCGATAGTGTTGTAATATCTATTCATGTTATCTCCAAATTGTGAGCATAAGTACATTTCATCTGCAGTTCTTTATGACCCTGTACTCATAATGCTTCTTCTTATGTTAAACAAGAATGGCTTGTCCAAAGAACACATCTAATTGACAAATTTAAGGAACATTTGAACAAGAGCAAACCTCTGAACTGCAAAAAAAGCTTGAATTTAAAAGTAACATTCAACTCTAAGGTAGACATATCTGTCTAACATATTCAAACAAGCAACTATTTAATAATCATGGTATGAAGATCCTTCTGAGAGAAAATTATTTTTCCCGCAATCACGATAAGAAGTGTAAATAATTATATATTATTTTTGTGATAAGTATATGTAAATATGAGAATTTCAAAGATTTGAATATTCAGTATCATAGTGAGAAACTGCACCATGAACCTGTGTATCCATCACCTCTTATCATTACTAGATTTCACATTATAGTCAAGAGAGATAGGATGGTTGCTGACAGAGCAAGTCAAAATTATTTAATGACTTACGGTCAAAACCTGAAACCAAAAGGAAACCACTACCAGGTTTACTGAGAATTCTCTGTTAAATGGTTAAATTTCAGCCAGTGTGAGAGGGCAGGACTCACACATTAGCATGATCAGCAGTATCGCTTACAGAGGAACAAATAAAGGTATATTTTGCTGTGAATGATACATAAGGTTGTTCTTAATTACATGAGATTCTTTCTTTTACTCTTGCTCCACACATATCAGTACTTATAATTTAAATGTCCTGAAGATTCTCTTTCTTCTTTATTTAGATACTTGAATGCCAACAAATCAGTAATTTTTATTGTGGTGAACAACTCGTCTTTTCTTTTGAAATATATATTTTTTAGTCTTCTGATTTTTTGTTACCCTTTTCTTCCAGAGAAACACATTCACTGAAGCATCAAATAAACTAGAGGAAAAAAAAAAATCTGCAATGGTTAAACAGCCTGATTCACAATATAATTTAAGTTAGTATGGTATTGTTACTCACTGTAATTCAAACTGTCATCTCAGTTATCTCACTTCTTATCAATACGCTAAAAAAGATAAACCTTTCTTCTTCTGTATGCAATAAAGGAAAATATTTTTTTAAAAAGATTTCGTTAGCAAACCTTTCTGAAGGGAACAAGATTAAAAATATTAGATTCATTTTAGAAAATAATTATTATAGTTCAGAGAAGAAATTATATTACATGAACGCGTTTTGCAGTTGAGTTGGTGGTACCACGCAGTAATTGTGTATGGTCTTACTGAAATCCTGCTTCTGTGTTGACAGAAGAAAGCTACTTTTAAAATCAAATTGGAAATTTTATTGTATTAAGTCATTACAGAACTTAAAAGATAAACAGATTACAAGTGTTGTTTATGACCTTCAGCCCTGATGCTTTCACCACAGAATATGAAAGCCATAACAATTTCTCACACATCAGGTAGAGAAACCTACTATCTCAAAGCTGATGTCAAGAGCAGGTACCTTTAAAAACATTACAACTTGTCCAAAAAAACATTACAAAATGGCTGATATTAGGCAGGGCCTCTGTGTCCATCTGGTCCAACATCCCTGCTCAAACAGAGCCACTCAGAGCAGGGTACCCCATACCATCCTCTGGTGGCTTTAGAAGATCTTCAAGGAAGAGACTCCTCTTCCTCTCAGGGCAACCTGTGCCAGTGCACAGGTCATCTACACAGTAAATTAGTGCATCCTGATATTCAGAACAAACCTCCTGTGCTCTAATTTTTGCTTATTTCGTCTTGAACTGGCAGAGGGCACCAGTGAAAATAACCTGTTTCTCCTGTGAGTTTCCTCTTGTGCAAAATGAACAATTCTCTCAGTCTTTTCTCATAGTAGAGCTGCCCTTCATCATCATGTTGAGTCTTCACTGGGCTGTATCAATTATGTCCATGTCCTTCTTGTACTGGGAGACCCAGAACTGAACACAGTACTCCAAGTGCAACTTGAACAGTGCTGAGTAGAGACAAAGGCTCACCTCTCTTAACCTACTGGAGATGCTTCATCTACTTCAGCCAACATTAAATCAATTAAGACTCAATATCTGCTAAGGTAACCATATTAAGGATACTGTAATTGTTATAAATTTACTTTGAGAATATACCTATTAGCCAATCCTCTGAAAAGATATTTTAGAAAACACAGCATTATCTATGGGAAACAAATATCAAGAAAACATGAACACAAGGCTTGATTATTCACCTAGTGCAGTCAGTTATATTGATTTTCTATAGACACTGTATTTTCTTTCAAACAGGGATTAGGCTTTTTTTTTTTTTTTTTTTTTTTTGGTTTGTAGGGTTTTGCTACAACAGCTTATACACAAATGCAGTTCTAGCTAGGACTGCACTTTCAAATCACATTTTGCAGTTATTGCTGACTTATCTATGGAGTCGTAATGTGAACAGTGTTATTTAAGGATGAAATAAAACTAGAAGATATACTGCAGAATTTGGATTAGTTTGAAAATAATCCAAAGTAAAAAACCCTGAAATTTTATGTCATGAATTCAAGAAGGAGCACTTAACTAAAGCAGGAAGAACCAAGAGAACTCATCAAGTGTTCACATTAGAAATTCTACCCATGAAAAATCTTTACCTTTTCATGAAAGAAAAATCAATCAAATATTTTGATAGCCAAATGTTTGTATGAATAGATAACAAAGGAGGGACTTTCTGGCCTGAGGCTTCTTACTTTTATCTAAAGCAAGAAACAGTTTATAATTGACATTCTGGTGAATGTCAATGATGAGGAGAGTACTCCTCTGCTAAAAGAAGGTGAGACTTCTTTAGAAAATACTGTTGAGTATCCTTACAATCCTGCCACACCATAGGAAAGAAGGTTGCTGCAAGAGCTGATTAGAAACAAAATACTCCTATGAGTATACAAAGACCTAAACATTTCAGTTCAGAATAGGAACGCACTTATCTGCGAGTGAACAGTGATTTTTCCCACTTCAGCTCTGTGGCTCACATTGGAAAAAAAAAAAAATCAATGTACGTAAACATCATTGCTTACAGAGGAAGTCAAACTGGAAGATGCACTCCAGAGATGAACAGAATGAACCTCAGCTCCTTCTGTGCCCTACAGAGCAGATCAGAATAGATACAGTCAGAAATAAAGTTGTCAACAGGTGTAGTGTAGATTAACAGCACACTCAAAATCAACTGCTTCACTCTATAATTTATCTCCTAACACTTAACAATATTTATTAACATGGATGTACTCTGAAATACAGGTGTACTCTTCTCTCATTTTTAAAGCAAAGACTCATTTCTGCTATATACTATCAAATTTACTTGAGGCTTTTAATTTCTCACTGACACTGAACTAAAAAAGATGATTTTAAAATTTAAACAGTAGCAAACAAGTCTGCATGTACCAGCACCATATATATATACACACTGTTTTGCTCAGACATCAAGTTGAAATAATTACAAGCTTCTGCACAGAGGAAGCCTTCTGTCTTGCAATTACTTTTCCTTCCAAAAGCTTAATCAATGCATTTATTGTTTCATACTTCTAGCTAAGCTTTTCAAAAGAAAATGAAACCCGGCAAAAGATAAAGCTTTCAGGAAACTAAGGAATGTAAAAATTATGATGAATTGGCATCTAAGTAAAAAGGTAGCTGAGCCATAAAGACTGGTAACACTGTAAGTAGAACACTTCACTTTATTTCTTGCAAATATATGTAACTAATAGCTCAAATTTCAGCTTTATTAAGTGCATTTGGCATGCTTGAAAGGCTTTCTTTTTTAAACACTGGTAAGAAATAAGTTTTTCCCCTCGAGCTATCATGCCTACAGGATGCTCCCTGGAATTATATGAGCTTAACATTCTTCCTGAAGCCTGGCTTGCTTCACTAGTACAAACGGAAAGCCATTTCCATCTTGATTAACATTTAACACTGATAACACCTACTTACTTTACACTGCAGGACAGCAATTTAATTTTATTTTATAATTGTATTCTTAACAGTGAATTAGATAGTTACCTCCTGAACAATTTGTATCAATACAGTCTGATTCACATTCCAGAAAAGCAAGGTTAAGTGCTAACCCTCAAATGAAGGAAAGCAGCAGCTGAGGATGAAAGTCCATTTGAAAGCACAAACCTTAGGCTAACATACTAGCTTCTTAAAGCAAGTCTTACAGGTTTAGAAATTGCTGTGTAGTAATGTTTAGTCACTTGTAAATCCAAGCCTGATACACAGCATGTCAAAGGAAAAGAATTTCCAGTATAATAACAATAAGTAGATGTCAACCAATGTCTTTTTTTTTTTTTTTTTTTTTTTTTTTTCCAAATATATTTCTCAAAGAAGCTAGTAAATCCTTTGAAGTTTAGGCTGATTTGAAAATTTAAGCTTTCCAAGTTCAAACTCCTGCTTAATTTCTGGAACCTCACAAAGTGTCAAACGCTTTGATCTTTTAGCTGCTTTACATTGAAACTTTGAGCTTCTAGTTCTTTTTATGTAACCAAAATATATAAAAGTTCATGATGAAAGACTACTTTTCTAATTACACGTACAAAAACATAGGCCAGATACATGTTTCCAGAATGTAACATTTTGCCTGCATTTTTGTGTGCAGGTGTTTATGCTCTGGATTCTACTTTCAAGAGTTTTTCATACTACTTGATAATGCCCCAAACAGGCCTACTTTTTCAGACAAATTGATTTCCTATCCATTACGGTCATTATATATCCCATGGTATATTTTTCAGTTGGATGCTCTGTATCTCATGTTCTCAAATAGAATGTTCTTGAACTACACTGTGCCTCTTATTACTATCTCTGCGTAATTTTCTAATAGTGAAGGGAATATTTTGCCACTAAAGTGGTTGTATATTACTGCTATGATGTTGTGCACAATTAAACAGCTGTTGCATAAGTAATGTCACAGAAGTGACTATATTTTATTGTGCTCTGTGGGCATATTTTCTTGTATACATCTCTGATAAGGATAGACATGAGACAAATTGCATTTATCATGCGTCTCCTTACCTTCACTCTGCACACTAATCCACGTCCCTTAGAGCTATGTCTAGTTTAAATGAACTTTAACTAGCCTCAGAAAAGTCTGCTGGAAAGATATTCTTGGGGACAGTATCTTACTCTCCTCAGTGTTGTGTGAGGTGAGTAGAAAATAGAACTCAATTGATTTTCAAGGTAGCTTCTGAAAATGCATTAAAACAAAGGACACTCAAAACAACAACAAAACAAATACCAAAACATCACCTAAATCCACTTATGTAGCCTTTTATCTGGCTAAAACACTTTTCCCTTCAGTAATTTTATTCCAAAGAAATATGGTGTTGTGAAAAAAAAATATAAATAACAATATTTGTGGAGTTTCTATACTAAAAAAAAAAAAAACATCATACTTCTGGAAGAAGTAATTTACTACTCATCCTTCCAGAGATAACTTGCACATGAATAAAAACACTTATATGCCATTAGTTAAGATAATAATCCAGGACAGAGTATGACAGAGAATTAAAATCAAATATGCTGAAGTGAACATCTCATCCACCAATTTATGCAATTGAGTTTGCAGAAACAAAAACAGATTACATTTATTGTGCATTTACTCTAGGTCTCTCTCCATCACATGTGCAATAGAAAATAAAATTCATTAAGCATAATAAATGCCCTCAACAGAGATTCCTGTTTGGAAATAATCATTTATATCTAAAACATAAATAGACACTGAAATAGCTAAAACAATTCCACAACTCAGTAGAATAATTTTGAAAATATTGTTTAAGTCCTTTATAGGATAAAATGCAATTACATTTAAGTTTTCTGTTTTTCCTTGATGAAGACTCACCTTCTTTTGGAATTAGAAGATATAAGTGTGTATCAACATACATTCCAAAAATTTGAAGAAGACAGTTTTAAAGAAAACTTCTCATTCATCTTTTTAATTCAAATATTTAGTTTTATTATGGTTTAACCAGTAGGTGGTTGAGAACCATTGTTGTTTGCTCACTCCTCACCTCTTCCCAGTGGGATGGGAGAGAGAGTTGGAAAAAGTAAAGTAGAATTCACAGGTTGAGAAAACTACTTAATAAGACAGAGAAAAAGAAAATTGTTATGACTATGTATGTATATGAATGTTTGTAACCAGCGATGCACAAGTAATTGCTCATCACCCCCCAGTCAACGCCTAGCTAGTCCCCAAGCAGCTGAAGAGAAAGAGAGATGAACTCCCACCTCTTTCAAAACACTTTCTGTATGATGTCATCTGGTATGGACTATCCCTTTAGAAGTTTAAGTCAGCTGTCCTGGTTCTGTTCTCTCCCAGCTCCTTGGGCCCTGCACTGTGAATAGCCTTGGCTCTGTACAGCACTGCTGAGCAGCAATTATAAACATTGGTGTGTTACCAACATTGTTTTTCTACTAGAACCACAACACAGCATTGTACAAGACATTCTGAAGAAAACAACTTCATCTCAGCTGAAACTAAGATAAACTTCCAGCTCCAATCTCCAATAATACTGGGAATAAATCTTACAGAAATTCATAAATAATCTTTTGGATCTTTAAGTTTTTATTTGGTTGGTTGGTTGGAGTTTTTTAATACAAAATGAAGTGTCCTATTAAATTATTTTGGTTAGCAAAGCCATTAAAAATATGTCTCAAAAAAGAAATATGTTTCTCTGGTCATCCTGTTTACAAGTAAATTGACTAAAAGAGACAATACAACCTCTCCCTTAAAGAAGGATTTTTCTTCAGTCTTACAAACATTTGACCAGTTATTCACTTTGTTTTGCACAGTATGTCATAAATAGGGTACATAATGTATTTTTACGAGTTTGGTAGCCCTTTGGAGTAAGCCACTAATCCATTCTACTGTGTGTCACTGAAGGCAGAGGAAAACTCTTCCTGAGTTCCATCGTATAAAGAATATAGGAAGCTGAGTTATACAGGCAAATGAATAACACCCTCAGTACAGTGCTTGATTTACTTTCATATAAATGCTGTTTACTGTACAGGCTGTCCCCAAACTTTCAATTTTGATGTGCTGTATAATTTTGCTCTGGAAATACTCATAACTTTGTTCAAGCTGTTAAGGGGAAATTTATCCCTCCAAAGAGTCACCACAGATTCTGAGAGCTGTATCACATGCAATGCTTTTAGTATGGATGGAAGATGCAATCAGTGAAATTCACTCACAACTGGTTTGTCATAACAGTATGTATTAGAAAGCAGAAAGACAAGTGTCTCTTGTAAAGGAGTTTCTACATTTAACAACAGCGCATTCTCCTAGCAGCTGTGCCAAGGACTGAAGCAATAGGCTATGCTGAAGAAGTTCTGGAAACCCTGATGTTTGGAAATCCAAACAAGTAGTGGCTCCATCTTCCACTCTGTTATAAGCATTGGGCGGGTTTTTTTGCACATAATAATCAAGCATTCTGTAGGCCTAACAGTGGCCAAGGTACATACTGTCTTTATGTAAGCCTTTGCCTCTCTAATCAATGCTTCTGTACCATGAGAAAAGTGCTAATTGGGTCTGAAGGATAGTTGGAAAAAAAAAAAAAAAGACAGTGTTATATAAGTGAAATAATGATAGCACAACCAGCACATTATTTAAAATGTCAGAAATACTTTCATGGGCTCTTAACTTAGATGTCCCTCCCTCAAAATGTTTTCTCCTATCTAAAACCTGTTTTAGACAGGAGATTGCACTTACTATGCAATTTTCTCTTCTCCTATGAATATTTTTAGAAGACGGCAGTTTTTCTGTGATTCAAAAGCTCCCAACATTCTTCACTGTTTTTTAATTTTTATGCTAACAAACACATGAATATTTAACAAATAAAAAAGTATTGGCAGATGGAAGAATCCATCAGCAAGACATTCCTAAGAGCTTTTCTTCAGTGAATTTGGAATGAAAATACTGTTAGATTTAATAATCATCCATTCTCTTCAATGGTTGCTTACAAAAATTAGGCTTAGTAATTAAAGAACTGGCAAAGTTTATAAAATCAGGTGAAATAAAATTAAACACTAAGAGGTTGCATTAACATAAGCCTTGATTTTGTGGTGGTCCAAATTGCCAATTTTGGAATAAAAACATTAAGTATACCATACTGCACTTTGTATTACATGAAGAAATCACTCACTTGAGCTCCATATCACATTAGTAAGTCCAAAGCAATCCATACAAACACACTAGTCCACTCCCTATCTAATTCATATACTTTCACTTTTCTCCATCCCTGCTCAGCTTCCAGGAAAAAGGAGAGGGAGAGTGAGGAAGTACACTGTTGCACAACAGTAACTCTTCAAAATGCACCTGTAAAAAAATATTTGGCTAAAAATCTCAATATGAAATAAAATATTTTTATTAGAAAAGAGATCTTATTTATCCTTGTGACATTTATAGAATTGTTTGGGTTGGAAAGGACCTTTAAGATTATGTAGTTCCAAACACCTGCTATAGGCAGGGATACTTCCTACTATACCAGGTTGCTCAAAGCCCCATCCAGCCTGGCTTTCAATGCTTCCAGAGAAGGGAAATCCTCACTGAGCAACCTGTTCCGGTGCCTCACCATCCTCACAGTAAATAATTTATTTCTAACATCTACACTAAATCTACCCTCTTCCAGTTTAAGGCCATTTCCCCTCATTTTATCACCTCATGCCCTTATAAATAGTCCCTCCCCAGCTTTCCTGTAAGCCCCCTTCAGGTACTAGAAGGCCACTGTAAGATTCCCCTGGAGCCTTCTCCAGAGTGAAGAGTTCAGATCACTCAGCCTGTCCCTGTAGTGTTGACACTGTTGACAAGTGAAAAATGCCTGTTGTGGATCACTTATCTGTAATGTAATGTAAAAGGAGAATTACTTATAGGCTGATAAGCACAGATTTCTGCAGAGTACAAATCAAACCCTAAATTTTCATCGACCACAGGAAGCAGCAGCTTGCATATTAGGATCCTCTTTCATAGCATTATTTAAATGTATGCTAATTTCAAATATGAAAAGACCTAAAGAAGTCAGGGGAAACATTTACTGCATACAAATTTTAAGAGACTGCACCACACTACTGATAAAAGGATTTTCTCCCTAGAGGTTTCAGCCCTTTCATCTCTATAAATGCAGCATTAAAGAAAAGTACCAAAACGTAGTTTATTTTTTGTCCACATCAAATGCATTTGCTGTTTTTCTCACATGGGCAGTCTTTACATTTACTGTAGATGTGCGTATATAAAATCCAACTTTTATCCGTAGATTTATATAGCATCATCCTTTATACATTACTTGGGAGTAGCAAAATATGAAATCACTATATCTAAGGAATCGGCATCCCAGCTGAAATCAAAAGGGTCTGTGTATTTTAAACACAAAGAATTTCTTTATTTATCCCTATGAATAAATGATTAGTGAAAATTTAGAAATCCAAGATGTGAGAATAAGTGCTTTGTTGCCGTTCAGTTGCTCAGTGCTTTATTTTCTGTAATATAATATGTTGATGTACTTCAGCTTTCTGTCCAATGATTTAATGTGCTCCCTCTGTATCATCTTTTTTGCCCTTCCAAAACCTAATATTACACGAGTATTTTTAAGAGATTTACTGATGAGTGTGTCCCTCATATATTTTTCTTGATATGTTCCTTTACCTCTGGAAGTGCTTGCAATTAGAAGATAAAGAGCTTTAAATATCCATAGAAATTGCAAAATAAAATTAATGTTAGGCTATTTAAAAATAATAGAATTCCTGAATAGGGCAACAAATTATTCTTCAAAACAATGATGGCAAGTACTTCCTAAGATGAGACCTTTCCATTTTAATTAATTTAATCATAAGTATGCTCCATGCCTAGCAGTTATTTCTTCACAATATTATTGTAACTTAACAGCTCTATTAATTTTCTTGCCCAATACCTGTTTTATTCCAGTGACAACTGAATCTGTCATAATTTTTAAAAAGCAGAACTTAATCTCACAGTGTCACATTTACATATATACACACACACTATTCACATGGCACATTGCACACATTTCACTTACAGAGAGATAAGTACGTGTATTAGTTTGGTCTTAACCATCTTCAGACTCATCATGCGTCCCTGAAAAAAAAAAAAAAAAGAAGTCTTTTAGTCACAAGTACTCAGAGAATTGGTTGATATTCTTAATGTTTCCTATACCTATATTTCTGTTTACAGATGTACGTAGGTTGCTCCTAAGTAACGCCTCCTATTTATTTCTATCATAATAGATAGAAGCAGCACAGTAACATTTGATGGAGAAAATTCTCAACTACGAAATGATATGTTTTCAACATAGTCACTAACCTTAGCTGTGCATTTTCACCAGTAATGAACAAGAACCTGCATGCTACACTCCTCAAAATCTGCACAGCTATCTGGAAAGTAGCTTGTATTTCATGTAGCTGCATCTAAATTGACAACATATGGCCACATAATGTTTTTTTATGTTAACTTTTCCACCACCAATTTTAATTAAAGGAAATGTCAGCAAATTATTGACTGCCGAGGAACAAGTTATTGTCCAGGCAATAGGATACTTTCTGTACCTGTTGTAGTCCCTGGAACTTAGACAACTATGCTGAAACGTATGTAGCTGCTGCTCAAATGTACATTAGCTGCTGCAATGCAGCACTAAGAAAGCCTTCTATTCTTAGAATTGTCCTTCAGTGATCTGTTCAGTGGCCATCATCAAACAAATCATATCAATCATAGCGTGTATGTGTAACCTCTAATATAAATAAATATTTTTGTTCCACTATTCACATTTCTCACATGGCCTGTTCGGATTCTTTAAGTCATTAGCATGTTTCTGTCTTGTTTACTCGAAAATCCAGAGAGGAAGTCATTTCAGAAATACTGAAATGCACGAAGATGGCAAGATTTTTTTATTATTTAGAACGTTCATACTTATCTTTTGAAATAAGTAGTAGTCTAATAGCATTTCTGAATCCATTGCATAAGGTATAGCTATTGATAAGAAAATAAATTTGTTTGCGTACCTTATCTCACAAAATCATGTCCCCACTCCTAGAATGAAAACAAAACCTGACATACCATATTAAGAAAAAAAACTAAGCAGTTCCCAAGAAACTTCCTTTTTCAGATAAAAAATGTAGCAACTTCATTATTCATATGCCTGCAGATAATTTAGTGCAACTATTAAGTTTCATAACTCATCAGGGAGTAACGTTAAGTCTGTTTCACAGAAATCATTGTTATGAAGCACTCAGTGACAACACCACATGCCAGATACACTTGCTTATGATTATTGTCATTCTCTTCCTAAACGCAAAGACAATGGAACAACCCTGGAAGAGTATCTTATTTTAAACAGCATCAGGTTTAAGAAGTTGCACCACCTATTCATTCTGCCAGTCTCCCAGAAGCCACTGTGCTCAGATGGAAAAAAAAAATCTGAAATGTTATGTGCCTATTTAAGAGCCCCAAGAGCCAACAGCAGTACCTTAGACATTAATCTGTCTTCGATCTTAACAACCATCTAGACTCCTTTTGTGCACTAATAGTCAAAAGCAATATTTACTGCACTAACCTCAGGCCAACAGCTTTTGTTGTTTTTTTGTTGGTTTTTTTTTGTTGTTGTTTTGTTTCTTCTAAAAAGCTCTTTACAGCACTCCTCTAATATTGCCCAGTACTATACTCTAGTGTTGAATTGAGAAAAGGCAGTTTTCTGAACCTGAAAATGGCTTCTGGAGGGTGAAATATAAAATTCTTAACAATGTAAAGTAAAATAATTTCAGATCAATAGTTTATTCACAATTGCATTAGTTAATTCAGCCTTCCTTGTCTCTATCCATGCTGTACACATACACTTCTATGCATTCTTAAATTACCATGTAATTAATATATGTATTTTGAATACAGCAGGATAAAAAAAAACAGCCATCCAGATGCCTTTTAATTATTGTCTTCAGGATAGTGCGACCAATCTCATTCTGCTATCAGACTAGCATAAGGACATCTAAATGAGAAGTCAGATAATAGACAAATCAGGTGTACAAGATGCTTAGGACTTTGGCTTTCTTTGAAGATCATGGATTTCATATGACAAATTTCTAACATCACTATCCATAAAAGAAATGCTAGCAGACATTTGAGACAGTGTCCTAGCTCATCCACAGACAGTTCACAGGCAGATTTAAGGCTCTGGAACACGTGAAGATGCAACACTGACTGTAAATCCCAGTGAGAGAATATTCTTTTATCTGTATTGCTGTCTGAACACCCCTGTGTAAAAGGGAGAGGCTGTTATGACAGATTGCTCTCCAAATTCACCAGCTTTCTTCTTCAGTATTCTATATCCAGGGCCCATTTCTCTCTGTGCTTCAGTAGATCATTCAGCTGTTCTTAGCAAGTACGTTAATACCATGAATACTATGCAAGGAGATCCAAAACATCTTTCGTTGGCCTTTCTCTCTTTCAGACACCTTACTTCACAGACTGATGGTATTATGCATCACTACTATTCACAGGCAAAAAGTGAAATGAAGTGCTGTTCACTTTCCTGACATATAATAGAGAAGCGGCTTTTACTACACCATCTTCAGGGAGTAATGTAATAGAAAGACCACTTTTTGGCTAACCTATTCAAATTGGCCCTCAGAGCCACTAAATATATACCTGACATTTGTATCTACAGACTTTCCATCCTTAACAACTAAATAAAGTTTTAAATATAACCTATTTAATTTAGCTGAAGGTAAATTTAATGCTAGAAAACTATTGACTTGAGAATTTAAAATTAAACCTTCTCAAAGAAGAAACACAAGATTTTCTGCAAAAAAACTGCCTGTGGATAAAGCATGTGATGAATGTAGCAGAGCGTTCCAGTCACTTTTTATGTGGATAATTCTGTATAATCAATTTCCACTCATTTATTTTTGTCACCCTGATATGTACATCTTGACTTTTTTTTTTTTTTTTTTTTTTTTAAACTTTTTGCCTAGGACCTCTCTCTTCTCTACAGCACTGAGTTTCAGCATTATTAACATTACAGATGATTGAAAATGATTTCCAAATAGACCTCTTTCCTCAGTTTTCCACAACGATGTGCATGAATATACACTCAAATGATTGATACTAAAAGGTTTCCTAAAGTATCAGATTACGTTCCCTAGTCATTGATACTGTCTCCCATTAATTTTTAAGAGACATTTCTGCTGAAGATGTGAATATAATGCAGTACTTGCCTTACTATAGTCGCATTTACAATAAAAAAAATGAAGAGAACACGTTATGGTGACAAAGCCAAAGAGACTGGTAAGAAACAAGTCAGCAGATAGAGAGTTACTAAATTCATGTAAATAAAACATTCATTGTTAACTAAACAGAAGAAATCTAAAGAAGTTATCAAGATGATACATCATAAAACTTCTATAATTTTTTTTAAGAAAAATACATTTTTACGGTTGCTCATCCCTTAGTTGAAGTACTCTGTATTACAAATATTTATACAGATTTGAGAGATAGAGAATAATTTACTTTCCTTTATGATCACATAAATATAAGAAATCCCAGGAATTTCTATCATACAAGAGCAAGAAGCAGTCTAGAGTAGAATACATGTATGGAGCAGTACATAACTGAGAAACTCACTTCAGTGCACTGTGCTTTGACAACTTCTTTCTTGAAAGTACAACCCATTCCATAACAGGACAATCAGCTAATTTTATGAAGCTATTCCCTATCCCACAATCAACTATTAAACTTGGATTTCATCATCAGTCACTTCAGATTCTGCCTTGGGAGCTTCAAACATATGGCTCCCTACAAAACCTTTTTTTTTTTTTTAAAAAAAAAAAAAAAAAGAAATCACTAAGATCCTGCCTGTGCAATTTTTTTTTGGTTTTGTGACTATCTGTACTCTTGTTAGTATTAGAAAAAGTTTGCCTTAAATGTCCACAAGTAGCTCTGCAAAGCAAGAACTTATAACTAGATTAAAGAATAAAGCATACATACACCTGTTTTTGGCCAAGTACATAAAACTCAATTTAGCCTTTGACTTCAAATCTTTAAATTAGATCATAGCTTCATGATATGAATTATTAATACACTAAATCTCAAGATGCATGTGAAGAGCTACACTAACATGTCAAATCAACGTTGCCAGAAGGTGGTAGAAAAAAGTACTAGAGGAGAATGAGTTTAACAGAAAAACTCCAGCATGAATGGAAACTGAGGTAAAAACACTTCTTCTATAGAATAGAATAGAATACAAGAGCACTATAACTTCTTAACAGGAAAAAAAAAAAAAAACAAAAACCAGTAATACCACTGCAACAACATCAGTAGGTCAATAATGTTTGGCATAGTATGCTTTGCAGATTGAGTTGTGCTCATTGAGAATGCTATTACAGTACCCCACAGCAAGGGAAAGACAGTGCTACATGTGAAGAGTCCGGGCTTTGCTTAAAAAAACTAATGTACTTGAATTATTATTTATATTTTATATAAATATTATTTATATTTTTAATATATATATAATTTTAATTTATATATTATATGGGAATTACCCATGATACAGGAATTACTTGATATCAGATCTGAACGTTAATAAAATAATTAGGCTATCAAGCACGTTCACTAATATATTTATTAATTTGGCTTCATAGTTTTCAAAAGTAACTTTAAACTTGATAGCTTTCTTCAGACTAATTCCAGCTACTCCAATTTTGTTCTAGCCTTTGAAATCCTCTTTCTTTCTCTTCTTTTCAGATATTTGCCATCTAATTTTAACATTAGATCAAATTGTTTTTTATCACCCAGTATGCTGAATACTCAGTTTGATCATGTGTTCAGGCAAAAAAAAAGTAGTAACGTTTCACTGCCTTTATTGCTATTGAAATACGATTACCTCAACAGTCACATGTGTAACATTTAACTTTTCTTAGGTAAGAATGTTTAATCTAGCCCAAAATATGTTATTTCCTTGTTTCTAAACACGTGGGACTTTTTTTGTTCATTTGTTGGTTATGCTTTCCTCTCCCTTCTACTGGACAGCATGGCCATGCACATACACATTTTCCAGCTAATTTTCAGTGATTCAAAGCTACACTCTGCAGTC